CTAAGTAATCATCTTGAAATATGACATGAATAATTGTAATATATACACACATCTTATTGTGAGGTTGATTTCCAGTGTTGGGCAAGTTACTTTTAAAAAGTAACTAGTAATAGTTATAGTTACTGCTCTCCAAAAAGTAACTAGTTACTTTATTAGTTACTAAATTATAAAAGTAACTAGTAACAATTTACTTTACTTTAAAAATAATAACAATAAAAATAGTTTTTGTGTTGTTTTTTGCTGACTAGTTCTCTGAAGGCAACAGACTCGACCGTTGCGATGAGCAGCATGTCCTCAACAACATACCTGGCAATCTATTTAGTTGACTCTGGGTCACATGTGGCGATTTGAAAGAATTGTTTTTTGGCTGCTTAGATGGTGTTGCTCCATCTGGGTCACTGCCGGTTGATGAGACGGTGGGGTCTTTGGCGACTAGTTTTATAGCCCCATGTTATGTACATTAGTTAGGTGCTTCAGGAGATTGGCATTGGTGTTATTCGATGTGGACAACGCTTTCTGTCCTGCACACAGTTTACATTTGACCGTAATATGTTTTGCGTCCTTTATCCCCACAAATTGAAAATAGTGGTTGTATCTCCAAGTTGTAAATGCGCTGCTGCTCTCGCTGATACTTGCATCTGCCATTGTGTGTGTGTGTGCTGGTGGTGAGTGTTGCTGTGTGTGTGTGTGTGTTAGCATTAGCAAGTGTTCGTGTGTGTGTATTTTCCCCATAAGGCAAGACCCGCCCAACTCTGTCTCTGATTGGCTTACAGTACCCTGAAATGTTACCCTGCATTAACCAATCATCACTCCTCTCTGGTTACTTTCACTTTTCCATGGTGCTGTGAGAGGACATCGCTGTATTCGCCTGTAAGTTACATCCGCAGGGAGATTCGGTTCAGTTCCATCACATAATGTAACGCAGTAACGCACCCATTTAAATCACAGTAACTATAACGGCGTTACTTAATGGGAATAGGTAACTAGTAACGCTATTAGTTACCGCAAAAAGTAGTTGCGTTACAGTAACGCGTTAGTCCCAACACTGCCCAAATCACACAAGAACACAATCACTTTCCTCTGCTGCCACCAAGCCATGGAGATAACAAAAAAACACAAATCTGCCTTCTCTTCTTTACCATGTCATTTTGAATTAAAAAAACAAAAGGTCAACAGCAGAGTTCCCCATTAACCTTGTGAGGCCCCCACATAGACATATTTTATTTCCTTGACTATTTTATTGCCCTTATGACTGCCTCCAGCAGAGTGTAGGGCAGCCTGCCGGTCAGCAGCTAAACTGCTGTGATGAGCCTGGCCCTTTAGGACTGTGTGTGTGAGCAGACAGGGAACTTGGCCCTGGTGCCTGTAGCAATTTGGAATTGGATGATGTACAGGTCAGAGTCCTTCTACAGGTCTGCTGGGGCCCTCTTCCTTGGCCAGCCCGCTCTTTTTAGATGTAAAAGTGGTCAAACCAGAGAGCCTATCACACTCTGGTTCTTTTAAGTAATCTTTGTTTGAGTGGAGTGGAGGTAGAAGCCCGACAAATTAAAGAAAAATCTATCCAAGGTTTTCCTTGGTTGTTTTTTTGTGTGTGAGGTGATTAACTAAAATCAAGTCTTCAGCTCACTCTAACATGAAATCTCTTTCTGCTTCTACCAGAATAAAGTGGTGACTGTTGACGATGTAAAGGTCAAGCTACAGGTCAGTTATATATCAGCTCTAGTGAAATGTGCTTTCACATTCGGATCCTCCTTCTAAAGCACAGGCAAGTTTCCTCTTGAGTCAGCCAAGTGGAACCAGGCCAAACTGTCAGTTTCTTTCTTTATTTCAGATTTGGGACACCGCAGGACAGGAGAGGTTCAGAAGTGTGACACTTGCATATTACAGAGATGCTCACGGTAAGGCAGATACAAAACCATAACCTACATGTGATTGTCAGATCTACTTTACTCATGTTACTGTGACCTGCAGAATATAACCACGTGTCATTCATCCTGCTCCAAAGCTCTTCTCCTGCTCTACGACATCAGCAGCAGAACCTCCTTTGACAACATAAGGGTGCGTGTGTGTGTGTGTGTGTGTGTGTGTGTGTGTGTGTGTGTGTGTGTGTGTGTGTGTGTGTGTGTGTGTGTGTGTGCGCGTGCGTGCGTGTGTTAACTTACTTTCCAAGTTTTTTGTTTTTTTTCCAAGTTTTCTGTTTTGTTGGACTGTGTGTCTATTCATGTGTGTGTGTCTTTCTTTTTTCAGGCGTGGCTAACAGAGATCCATGAGTATGCACAAAGTGATGTAGTCATCATGTTGCTGGGCAACAAGGTAAGAAGGACTTGTTTGAGAGGCTCAGCAACGAAAAAGTCTTGAGAAAATAGAAATGGATGTGATCTGTTGTGAAACCTGACTGAATGCTGTGGCTTTTTATTAAAGTTTATATCCAAAACATTTCTCTGTACAACAGCAGACTGTTAGTAAGCTTTGGGAACTAAGGAACACATTTCAGCTAAAGACACAGATCTTTTCAGCTAAACACACAGATCTTTCTCAGGATTTGGTGAAAATCTGATTAGAATCAATCAGTGGTGTAAAGTAACTAAGTACTGTACCTAAGTAAACATTTGAGAGACTTTACTTGAGTATTTTAAATTGTTGTTACTTTTTACTTCTGCCCCACTACAATTCAGAGGTCAATTGTGTACTTTTTCTCCTACATTTACTTAAATCAGACTTTATTTCCACCTGGAGTAAATTCATAAGCTACCCTGCAGTATACAAAGTCATTCAAACTATTTGCACCTTTACCAGCTTTGATTCACATATGAAAGCATCCATGTTAAACTAATAAAGTATGCACAGTCATTGTTCTTCTCTCATCCATTTATTCAGGGTCATTGAACCAGCATGGCAGTACTCAGTGCTGCCTAATCAACAACAAGACGCGCTTGCTTATGACGTCACAATGGGACATACCATTAAACATGGAGTAACGGACCGTCCACACTATAGCTTCAAAAAAAGCCTGGAGCTGGGCGTGTCTGAAGCTTGGGGATTTTATTCGAGCACCGCGACCAACAACCAATCACATGAATGTCCCGCCCCCGGCATACAAAGCAAAAAACCCCGGGGATTTTATGCGAGCAATATATATATATATATAAACTCCCCAAACAGGCGAAAACCTACCAGTTGCACCCACTGTCTCTGCCATCTCCCTCCATGCCTGGTTCCTCCAGTTTGTATCCCAGTAAATAGTTCTGGTCGTAAAGAACCGGGTGATTTGCTACCGTAATTTCTCGTTTGGAATATGAGGAAATGAACTGCGGTCTGGCTCTCCCAGCTTGCACGCGGTTTGATTGGCTAGCGCTTGAACTGTCAGATTTGCATAAACGGGATTTGATTGGCTGACGCTGGATATTCCGGCGTCTCCGGCTTCAGAAGTTGAACATTGTTCAACTTTTACAGCCTGAAACGCCAGGAAAGCTCCGCTCTGCTACCCACAATTCAGTTCTGCGAAAAGCGAGGCAACTTGACGTCACCCCATTCAAAGTGAATGGGCAGACGCGTTGG